AATCGATGCAAGACCGCAGTAACGTTGTACCATGACCTGGTTCATGCCGAATGCCGAGATCCACGTGATGGAGTTCCCGCCAACGACGCTCCAAAAGGTGAAAATTTTCTGAAAGTTCAAGCTCATGCTTGCGTGTTGCAAAGTAGAGGAGAATATTTAGTGAGATGACGCTGGCACTGCTGTGTGCATACAAAGTAGATAAATTTGTAGGTAGAAAACGCGCTATAATTATTACTTCAAACACCCGCGACGTTTCCTTCTCAAAGGCAAATGCACACTCGCGTACACCAATGATGGATAACTTAAGACGGACGTCATGAGTTGGACGTCCGTGTGAATGGCTGGAAGTTGTCTGAGTGCACGAGTGAGTCTATTTCTTTAGTTGCGGAGGTGACCGGCCTTCACCTTACGGTCGTCTGGCCGGAACATCTCCAGACCTCTTAGGTTCTGATTCATTGTATATAGACTTCGTTTTATATTCCAGGACTAAAGTCTGAAAACAAATAAAAAGAACGTTTGCGCACCGAGCGTTTGAGCTCAAACGTTATATTAAGCAAATCTGACGCCAGGAAGTGTGCAACTATATTTGACACCATGAAATATATTTAGTTTTATTTATATTTGCTACGCAATGTGTAGTTTTCTAAAATGATAATACACCAATGCAATAATATTTATCACCAGGCTATGCTTCCTGACGCATTCGGCCGTTCACCGTGCTTCAAAACGGTTTATTTTAGTTCAAAACATAGGGTAGTTGCGCAGCTCGGGAGGTTGACGCAAAAATTTGCTGAGAACTTTGTCAATTGATGGAGATAATACAGGTGATGACTAAACAAACAACCTTCCTTTTTAAATGAGCTTCAGCACAGCCAGCTAGCTATTTCAAGCATTTTTTGAAACAGAAGATTAGAAGCATAATATTTATAATTAAGAAGCGGTGGTTTGGAGAATCGCGGAGTAAGGAAGCCGACAGTACTAATTATCTGCCAAGCTTTTTACTTGTTAAGCAAAGCTTAGCGTGCTGAGCAAAGTGCTAGAATGAGTTCCACGAAGTCTCTAGAATGGATGATCGGTGGTCTGTGACAGTAAGAAAATTTACGAGGAAGCAGTATAAACGCCACTCATAGCAATGACAGAATCATAAAAGACATCGCCAAATAACCTATGTGGGAAACACGGTAGGCTAGTGCGCATAGATGTAACTAGAAATCTCTCGAGGAATATACGTTATCTTGCTGTGCAGCTGCGCCCAGAATGTTTTGCAAGTGTGGACTATGCAGTCAGGCTAAAACATTAAGCTCAGCGTGCTGAGCAAAGTGCTAGAATGAATGCCACAAAGTCTCTAGAATAGATGATAGTCAGTCTACGACAGTAAGAGAATTTACGAGGAAGCGGTATAAACGCCACCCGTGTTCATGGTTGAATCATAAAAACATCGCCAAATAAATTACGTCTAAAACACGGTTTGGCTGGTGGGTATACATGTAACTAGAAATGTCTCGAGGAATGTCTTTTATCTTGATGTACAAGTGTGCACGGAACGTTTTGAAAGCGTGCACTAAGCAGTCAGGCTAAAAAATTGTAGATTTCAAGATACATAATTAGCCTAGCAGGTATCATACGTGCTTTGCGTCTATGGCAGCGTATTTATAACTTGTGAGCTTTGTTTGCGAGAGGCTTTGGTAGTATAGTGCCGTTCAATACGTACTCAAAAAATTCGAGCAGCCCTTCTTTGTTGACCACGTCGAAAACAGCGCTGGGCTCACCGATCACCATGAAACCCTGTAACAAAACATGTGACCAAAACATTAACATAGACATCGAGACACATGTCTGTTGTGTTTTAGCGTCGAAGCTTCTTAAGGCGTGGGCTGAGCGTACCGTCGTAATCGTATGTAGCCACCTCTCGTTCTTGAACCGGCCGTAAAGGGCGGTACTTGTACATATAACGAAATGCATATACGCTGAAAAATGCAAATGGTACGACACTGGAGGGCGATATTTGTAGAGTGATAAGTAATAAAAACCACAGCATATCCAGGGAATTAATGATGATGAGTGGGGCGAAGCGTCCATCAGTCCGTCCGCGCTTCCTTCTATTCGTGCGTCCATCCATCCGTCCATCCGCGCGTCCATCTATCCATCCATTCATGCGTCCATTCATTGTGCAGTCGTCCAGGCGTCCATACGTCCATTCATCCGTCCTCTCGTGCCTTCATCCACGCGTCCATTTATGCGTCCGTCCCTGCATTCGTCCATGCGTTCATTCGTCGTCCGTCCGTGTGTTCATCCATGCGTCCATCCGTCCATCCGTCCGTTCATGCGTCCGCCCGTCCATTCCTACATCCACCTGTGCGTCCGTCCGGCATCATCCCATGTGTCCATCCGTGCGTGCGTCCATGCATCCGCTCGTGCATCCATCCATCCATCTGTCCGTGCGTTCTTGTATCCATCTGTCCGTTCCTGCGTTCATCCTTCCGTCTGTCCATTCAGCCGTCCGTTCGCTTCGCCTCATTTGTCATCATTCACTTCATGGATATGCCGTGATTTTTAATAACGATGATAGCAGTGTAAAGTACACTCTACGCAACATTCAACTTCAGCGATTACTCATTATCTCATGCTATTCGGCAAAACGGGTTGACTGACACGAAGGAGCGCCCTCACAAAAACTGCATCTGCTGTGGCACCTTTGAAGTTAATATCGATGCATATTAAACAACGGGCACTTTTAACAATCAAGCAGTGAGAAAGCAAGCAGCTTATTTTCACTTAACACCGCTCTTCGACCACCGCCATCTATAGCTGACGACTCTATGCATTCTATTTAATTTGCCGCAGAACATTTAGCGAATGTTACCTCTGACATTAACCGAGGAATATCGATATAGGTAAACATCCGTTGCCCAACATATTTAGGTAAAATGAAGGGTCAGTAACATTTGCACTGTATTAAAAATAAAAATGAAAGGATCATGAGCTGCACGAGCTGAATTCCCCCCCTCCTTCTTTTTTTCTTGACAGTATACAGCACTGCTAAAGCTGATCCTCATCTTTATCAATGGTGGGCGCGGTCAGCGGTTACCACAGCCAAGGCGGCCAAAGCTTATTGTCTGTCTGTCTGTCTGTCTGTCTGTCTGTCTGTCTGTCTGTCTGTCTGTCTGTCTGTCTGTCTGTCTGTCTGTCTGTCTGTCTGTCTGTCTGTCTGTCTGTCTTGTTAATTATGCATGTAAAACGTTTGTTTGTATATAACACAACACCTATTTCTAGCCTTTTCAATCTAGCGCAGTTTAAGAAATTTGTCCGAAATTCTTAAGGATCAGGGAAATGCTATATACCTTTTTGTTTCCATTTGAAGTTTATCTTGTTGTTTCCAGTAAAATTCGTTTTCTTTTCATTATGCGACAAAATAGCAGGACGCTAAATTATACTGTGTCTTCAGCGAAAGCCTGCGTCAATTTGTCTGACTATGCCATTCTTTTTTTCTTTTATACATTTACCGGGGGAATGGCACGCAAACTGGCTGATGATGTATTTTTTTTTAATTTACCGTGAACAGCAGTGAGGCGTGACCCGCCTCCGTTTCGCATGCGTTTCTATACCCCGCTTCACGCCCCTTGGCGACTTACGCGCTCGTAAAGCTTTGTATTATTCAAAGCTGCAATGAATTTCACATGCAGAGCTTCAATGCTTCCGTTTGACATAACTGCGTAACTCTACTAATTCAAAAGTTGATTCCTTTACCTTCATTAATTGCTGTCGTAAACAATGCTTCTAACCATCTTAATATGCACGTGGCTACAGAAGAAGTGATTCTGAAGGCATCAAGAAATAAAACATTTCATTGACATCCTGATTTGGGACACATTTCATGGCCTACCCGGTAATAAAACACCCTCGCTAAAAAAAGAAGAAGAAAAAATTACGGCATATTCACGGGGTGAATGATGATGAATGGGCGAAGCTCCGAGGGATTCATCGGTAACTGTGAATCTTCCGTGTAATTCGCCAGTCGATCATCATGTAAAGGCGTGAGAAACGCTGTGGTGTGTATTACACAAATCAACTTTTATTTGTTCTTAGACGATGAATGGCTTTGCGATGTCCCTTGCCTCGCGCGCTCGCACATCGGGATTCTGTCTGCGAGCGCGCGCTGCTGGCCGCCTTGCGCTCTCTCCGCTGTGCAGCCTTATCCATCCGGCGAACTCCGAGCGCAGCGCCAACAGCGAACGGATTTTATTACAACGCTCCCCCTAGCGTACGTGCCGCACTAAATCGAACGATTGCCTTCAACCAATGACACGTGCCATAGTGGACATCATTCCTATTTTAGAAGATCTCGCGTCTTTCACTCAACTACAAGTACCGCTTTCTAGTTTATACATCTTGCATCTTTTCATCATCAGCTACAAGTACCACCATCGAGTAAACACTACAAGAACTAAACGAGAAGGTGGCTACATACAGGAGACGGTAACCGCCATCTAGTGAACACTGCAAGAACTAAACTAGAGGTGGCTACATACAGGGGACGGTAACCGCCATCTAGTGAACACTGCAAGAACTAAACTAGAGGTGCTACATACAGGCTACAGGGGACGCACAGCCCACGCCCTAAGGAGCTTCGCCCCTAAAAGAAAGAAAAAAGATGGGCACACCTTAATAAGGACAATCAGCAGTCCGAAAATCATCAGTAGCACATGCAGGACGTCAGTCCAAACGACAGCTTTTATGCCTCCCTGCAGTGCGAAGGGGTGTATTTTAGCAACTTTCATAGGTTTACCTAACATGTACCCACGGTCCAACACATTGCATGGAGGAAAAATAAAGCGTCACTTACACTTACCAACGGCATTATTTACATACAGCGCCCACACAAAAGAATGCTCAGTGCCTGGAAAAATAAGCCTTGCATGCATTTCATATTTGCTTTAAAACAATGCAGGAGTCTAGAAAACGTATACCTGAACGATTGAATGTGCCATTCGCTTGGCCTTAGCGGCACTTCAAGTTATTCAAAGAGCAACCGACACCTTGAGTAAAGAGCATTGTTGCCCTTGTATCGAGGGCATTGTTGCCTTGCGACAGTGCGCTCGTTGCTACAAGGTAAGTCAACAGCATTGTTGCAAGGCAACAGTGCCCTCGAGGGCATTGTTGCCTTGCAACGATGCCCTGCTGTTGAAGGATGCATCTCCTAGCTTATGTCAATATCGGCTGATCTCTCGACGCCCCCGTTTGCCAGTATTATATTTTCCCTGGCATGTGAGGAACCATACTACAAAATATATTCTTGTTCGTGGGGTCAATGCGCCGAACCTCCTCGAAAAATTATGGCAGCTTCAAGCTTCAGCATATAGAGCCAAGCGTTATGGAAAAGCGGAACCATGAGCGCTTACTTGTATCTGCTTACTTTTTCCTTCTTACTTTTTCTGTTTCCCGTGTGTCTTTTTCGTGTCTGTTGCTGTCTATTTCTTCCTTTCTCTTTCTTCTTCTTTCTGTATTTATTTCGGCTTCTTTTTTTTCTCTCTCACACCATTTTTCGTTTTTTTTTTCGTTTCTACTTATTTTTATCTTTCTCTCCCTTTCGGCCTTGCTCTCTGTTTTCTCTTTCTCTTTTTTGTGGCAGTTTCTTTCCATATCTTTCTCTCTTTTCATGATTTTTCGTATTCATTTTTGTCTCGTCTCGCTTTCTTCTTCCGTATTTTTATCTATCTATCTATCTATCTATCTATCTATCTATCTATCTATCTATCTATCTATCTATCTATCTATCTATCTATCCGTCTATCTATCTATCTATCTATCTATCTATCTATCTATCTATCTATCTATCTATCTATCTATCTATCTATCTATTTCACTTCATTCACGGCGTCCATTCCGCCGAGCAGATTTTTTCATTTGACGTTCTCAGTTGCTTTACTCGGTCGGGGTCTTCACGTGGCGCCTACAGGGACGCCTATTGTCCTGTTGCACCTACGGCGAAAAAACAAGGTTCTTGCGGCTGCCTTAAACAGCTTCACTGTTAAAACGCGCGCGAAGGTATGATGTGCGGAGACTAATCAACATGTAGGTATACTTACTATTGTCGTGTAGAAGGCGCAAACGCTTCCGTTGAGCACGATGGAAACCCAGACTGGAAGGCCTGTCACTGCAACGAGCAGGTATCATAGAGAATATAAACGCTGCACGGAAGTCCCCTTTCAGTGAGCGTATACACAATTGTGTGATTTCGAGTGCTATAGGCTTTCTTTGACAATATGCCTGATTTTTGCATTTCGTTGTGTTGTCGTACCGAACAGCACAACCATAATGAGAGCAGCTGGTCTGTGATGGGCCTAAAACACCCAGAATATAATTTCTAATCCACCTGACTCTGGACAGCGTTTTCTATGGTGCTGATGCGGGCACGAGTTACGCTGTGACGAAGATAAACGCTGCGGTGGTGCCTTTGGGACTAACATAGATTTGGTAATAAGCGGCATTGAGCAAGACGTAACCATTAGCGACACCATGGAAGGCTTTTGTCATGATTACATGCGAGTTTCGGTTTGCATTTCGTAGTCATTTTATTTGCCTCTGGGTATGCATACTTCTGTCGGTTGACCTGCGCATCTGAGACTTATTGCAGATTTGAGACCACCAAACCTCTAAGTTGTTATACTCATAACCCTATAGCTAGACAGGCACGCAAAGCGAATGACTTATCAAAAGCAAAAAGTACTCACCTGAACCGAGTGCAAGTGACGGGCCATAAAGCACTACCCCCAAGTAGAAGCACTGCGATGTACAGATGTCATTCACGTTAGCCAATTCAGAAATTTTAGTAGATCCCGTTAAATGTCTCGCTATTCCTTACCACTTCTATAACGGTCAAAGCGGAGATAATCTTCCTGATCAGTACAGAATTGAATCTGTTCTCCAGATACTGCAAGGGCAAAAGGCAAGCACTCATGAATATCACACAACGTTCGCCATAGCAACGCGAGAATTGTGCAAATTAGCTAAAAGCATATAAACTGCGTTGTGATCTCAACAGGGACTGAAATCGGCTAGGAGAAAATAGGTTATGTTCAACCACAGTTGAAAGTGTCCGCTTTGTTATTAGAAATCATCGTTATTCTTCTTCTTCTTCTTCTTTTTCTTTTTCTTCTTTTTCTTCTTCTTTTCTTCTTTTTCTTCTTCTTTTTCTTCTTTTTCTTCTTTTTCTTCTTCTTCTTTTTCTTCTTCTTCTTCTTCTTCTTCTTCTTCTTCTTCTTCTTCTTCTTCTTCTTCTTCTTCTTCTTCTTCTTCTTTTTCTTTTTCTTCTTCTTTTTCTTCTTTTTCTTTTTTTTCTTTTTCTTCTTTTTCTTCTTTTTCTTCTTTTTCTTTTTCTTTTTCTTCTTTTTCTTTTTCTTTTCTTCTTCTTCTCTTCTTCTTCTTCTTCTTCTTCTTCTTCTTCTTCTTCTTCTTCTTCTCTTCTTCTTCTTCTTCTTCTTCTTCTTCTTCTTCTTCGAATACCTCGATAATAACATTAACGATGGCAAAACCTTAGGTAGCGTCGCTCACTGTAGTGTTTTTAGAGCGCGCTCACGCCAAATAGAAGCATTCTTGTTGTTGAAGTGCCTTGATGATAATGTTAAACACGGACATTCTTACTCTAGATAGGAAAACACGATAACGCGAATCACGTAGAAAAAAATTGAAGACGCTAGCGAAAAACTGATAGGGAAAGAAATAAAAAGAAACAGAGATTTCAATAAAAATAAAAAAATCAACACAGATAAACTTAAAAATGAGGACGAGAAATAAATAAAGAAGGGGAGAAAGGGAAAACTGAAGAGAGTCCGCTTCACGTACGTTCTTTTTCTTTTGATTTGAGATACCGAGTAGAGAAAACGTTTAATTAAATTATATAGAAATTTTTGGTGGAGCCACCCGAGTGGGTAATAGCCATGTTTGTGCATTCATCATCATCATTATTAATATCATGACCATCATCATCAAAGCTGCCCCGCTCTACACTACCTTTACACTTTCATGTAGCGTACATTGCCTATATGTAACGTAAAAAGTTCTAGTAACTTTTTTTAATTTTTACTGTATCGCTTGATGGCTAACAATATAAGGATTTATAATATGTGGACAGGTGATGAAGATGGTGAATGGTGAATTGTAGCACAAGGGCCACTGATGGCCAACGATTGCCAGAAAAAATATACGGAGTACACACCAACTATGGTCTCAGTAGAGGACTGTAAATAAATAAATATTTAAATAATTAAACAATTAAATAAATAAATAATTAAGTAAATAAATAATAACTTAAAAACTTCGTGCCTACAAATGTCATTTCCTTGAGTAAGCGCGTCGTCAAAAATATAGACCGCATGAAAGACTAGATTACACATGTATTTACATTACACGCAGTTTCACTTTGCTGGTAATACGTGCAAACCGTATTACCAGAAACGCTGCACTATAATACCAGGTTACGACATTCTTAGAAGAAATAATCAGAAATCATCATCAAATAATCAAATAATCAAATAATCAGAAATAATCAGAAGAAATAATTAGAAGAAATAATCAGAAATTGGAAATCAGAAAACATAATAATAAAGCGCCAAATAAGTGAATTACTTATTTTCTAGTTTTTTTTTATTGTGTTTCATTTGGAGCATATTGCCTGCTAGTTGTGTTCAAAAATTTCTGTTTCAACTATGATAGTTTTGATTTTATATTTACCTGTATATTCTTATTTTAGCTTTCTGTATGTATCAAAGTTATACGTTAAATGCGACTTCTTTTACGAAAGTTTTTAGGACGCTTCTACTTTTGTTGTCAGTGCTTGTGTGCAAACTGTCGTTTCAGGTGAGATAACTTCGTCATGCGTCCGCTTTTAGTACTCTCTATCCGAAGTGCAATTCAGTCAACTTAAACAAAATCTATTTAAATTTTACAACCATACGATAGGGACGTCAATTAAAAAACGCTAAATACGTTTGATCCGCTTATCTCTAGAGCCGCCAAAAAAGCGTCCTACCTGGTTCACACTGATCATGTCCATGTGATAGAAAACGGGCAGCGACACGTGGGCAGCCACAAGGCTAGCTATGGCGACACCAATGACGGCGACCATATGCTGGGAACCATGGAGAAAGTTCTCCGCAGGTACACCCAATATGGCGATCGCTGACAATCTGCTGGCCGTCATTGATAGAGTTACTGGAAACATCTGCGCAAAAAAGTTTATTTATTTATTTATTTATTTATTTATTTATTTATTTATTTATTTATTTATTTATTTGCAATACTGCTATTCTCTTTCGAGAGCGGGGCAGTTGGGCAGTACAAGGATATTTCAAACAAAAAAAAATAATTAACGAGCGAAAACATCCTTACAAGCAAACACAAGCATAACAAAAGAATGAATATTGTCAATAGAATCGAAGAATTGAAGTGTTGAATATATATATATATATATATATATATATATATATATATATATATATATATTACAAATTTTTAAACATTATGCAATGCTGTCATCAAAAAAAAAGGGAAAATGTATGGCGCTAACAAGAATGGAACCTGTGTCGTTTCTCGCTACCGTGGTCCTTCATACATATCTCCTGTTATGCACGCACAGTTTTCACTATTTGTGACAAAAAAACTGTTTTTTTTTTCTAGTCTAGATCACACGGCTCGTACCAATTGACCCTTTGATAAATACGAGAGCGCTCTTTGACCATATAATGAATATTCAGTGAGGCATTGCCGCAGGGAACTCTATAATTGGATAATATCTCCCTTAGCATAGAGCCGTCACTTCTTCCCTGCTTTCAACGCGCAAGTACAAAACTAATCACATATTCTGGTCATCTGCAAAAAAAATGTACACTAGCAGTGTAGGTTTTGGTGCTCGTTGCGGAACCAGGCCGCTTTTATAGTAAAATATTTTAGTCATTTTCATTAAGCGAAAACCTTATTGCAAGTAATGGTATTAAATGCTGAAATATATTTTCAATACCAGATAGAATCGGTCTCAGGGAAGACAAAAAGTATGGATCAAATCGTTGAGTTTTACATATATCAACTTTTATTTGCATGATACATTCTAGCATGATCGTAAGCATCCAAGTTTAGCTCCTTTGTTAGCATGACGATGGTATTCCTTTTTTTCTTTCGCAAGTGGCCGGTCATCAATTGATAGCGTCATAGACCTGGTCAGCTACGTGCAACACGAAAAAGGCCGTAAGCGTCTCTGCGCTTCTTTATTTCTTGATGTTAAAGGGGCGTACAATAACGTCACACATGAAGCTGTTCTCACCGCTCTCAAGGAGGTAGGAGTGGGTGGTCGGATGTTTCAGTGGCTACGCAGCTATCTCTCTGAGCGATCCTTTTTCGTGAGAACCGAGGATGGTGGCACTTCGCTACATTACAGCCACCGTGGTGTTCCCCAGGGTGGTATACTTAGCCCTGTACTATTCAACCTGACGCTAATAGCTCTCAATGAGCATCTGCCAAGTACTGTCAGATTGTCAATGTACGCGGACGACATCTGCGTTTGGACGTCTGCAGTAACACGTCTACAGCTGCGAGCGCGAATTCAGAGAGCTGCCACTCAAGTTGCCATTTACCTCCGTCAACGAGGTCTGGTAACTTCCTCTGAGAAATGTGCACCAGTGGCATTTACGCGCAAACCAATGCATAACTACAGCGTTCTGATAAACAGCGAAAGAATACGTCGCCTCCGATCATACAAGTTCCTAGGTGTTATAATTGACAGAGACCTCTCATGGAGCTCACATGTATCATATATGAAAAGGCGATTGACAGGCATCTGTCATATGTTCAAGTTCTTCGCTGGAAAGAACTGGGGAATGTCCACAACTGCTATGGTGCGACTATACAGGTTTCTTTTCCTTGGATTCCTTCGGTACAGCCTACCTGTGTTAACCAACGCAAGTAAAACAAGCATACGAATGCTTCAAAGTGTCCAGGCTCAAGCACTCCGGATATAATTAGGCTTGCCCCAAAGTGCATCAACAGCGGCAACTATCGCCATCACAAGGGACAACCTCATCAAGACCCACATTAATGTGGAAGTGCTGAGGACACATATACGACACCTTGCTCGAGCCCCTCGACATCACCTAGCCTCTCTACCAGTGGTCCGACCATGCACATCTTACTGCAAAACAGTGACCGCACATGGTGAGTCGATCCCAACTTCGTTCTCTCCTGCCGCTAGACCTGTTACTCCGCCATGGTGCCTCACTCAACCAATGATTATTATTGACATACCTGGCGTCGATAAAAAGGCCAATTTGTCGTCACCGGCTCTTAAACAGCTCACACTACTTCTCTTGTATGAGAAATATAGAGACTCCACACATATCTACACTGACAGATCGGTTCAGCCGGACAGCTCTACAGGAGCAGTAGTGATACCAAGGTTGGCCACGACAATTAAATTCAAGACATCTCACGCAACAACATCAACGGCAGCAGAATTGGCAGCACTTCGTGCCGCGTTGCAATTTGTAGTTGATCAACCTACACGCAAGTGGACTATTTTCTGCGACTCGAAGGCGGCACTGCAGTCTCTACTATCAGCCTTACGCCGTGGACCACACGAGCAGCTGGTACTAGAGATAGCAGAGGTTATACACCACCTGACTGAGAAAGGGCACCAAATTACATTTCAGGGGTTGCCCAGTCACTGCGGAATCATCGGCAATGAACGGGCCGATCAAGCTGCCCGCTCAGCCCACACAGAAGATCATAAACTGCGACTACCACTTTCTAGGACGGATGCTGCACAAGAGCTCCGCAGACTTGCTCGCCGGCAAACCACATCGCAATGGAATCAGCCGCACTTCAAGCATGCCCGACTGTACTCGCTTGACCCTACGCTAAGCCTTCAAGTCCCGTCGAGGTTTCGCCGAGCAGACCGGACCCTGTTATGTAGGCTGTGGTTGGGCGTTGCATTTACCAACGCCTACGCTTTCCGCATTGGGATGGCCGACACCGCAGCCTGTGGCCACTGTGGCAAGAAGGAAACCATTCAACACGTTCTTTGTGAGTGCCTAGAGTATAGTAGGCGGCGACTATGCCTTCGCAGGGAACTCAACAAATTAGATGATCAGCCTCTGTCGGAGCAGGAAATTCTGCAGCATCGTCAGGATGCGACTTCACAGAAGAGGGCCCTGAAGGCGCTGCTGCACTTTTTGCGATCGACCGGCCTTGCTGAGCGGTTGTAGCTGGGACGCCCTTCCTGTGTGTGTTTTCGTTTTTTTTATGAGTGCGCGTGCGTTTTTTTCCTCTATCTAACCCCTCTTTCTTGCCCCTACTTCCCCCCCCCCCAGCGCTGGGTAGCAAACCAGATGCCAATATCTGGTTAACCTCCCGGCCTTTCCTTTTTCACTCTCTCTCTCTCTTTCGCAAGTTATTCGGAAGGAAGCCACAACCATGGCAGCTCGCGGCCATGCTGCACCTATTGCCCATTTGCGTCACATTGTTTTGAGCACGGTTTCAACTTGTGCGCTTTAGTACAACGCCCTATTCCCCAACCCCAGTGTAGGGTAGCATACCGGATACTAGCATCTGGTTAACCTCCCTGCCTTCCTTTTTTTTGAGAACACGAAGAAGTGTGTTTTGAATAGGAGCTGCTTCTGCTAACTCCGGCGTATTTCACTTGTAATTTAAGTCTGTTGATCAGTTTTTGCTGCTCCCTTGGAGGGGATGGAAGTAGACCACCCCGGGCGCCTGCCGGCACCAGCGGCGTCAGCGGCGACCGCCTCCAGGAAGCGGATGGGACAAGCGAGCGACAGCGACAGTGAAGATACTCATGCTTACTATCTCAGCAGTGAAGACTTCTCAGATGACGGTTTCCAACCTGTGCTGAGCCGCAAGGCGAAGAGAAGGAACATGAGGACATCCTCATCCTCAACTATTCAAACTGTAAGTGAAGCGCCAAAATCGAACGCTTATACCATCCTGTTTCGGCCTGCACTTCCTACCGTCAGCATGAAACGCCTTAACAGACAGTCTGTGTCGAGGTCTCTGGAAACGCTCGTGCCAAATGAGATCACGGACATAAGAGTGAACGCCAGAAAGAATATACTGGCTGTGGACGTTTTGCACGCAAGTGCGTTGGGCGTTCTGCGCAGTGTAACTGACTTGGACGGCAACCAGGTGCACTCTCATGTTCCCTTGGGATGTGATGTAGTAACCGGCGTGATCTTCGACATTGATGTCGCTATTTCAAATAAGGACTTACAACTTCTTGTCAAGTCAACAACTGATACTCCTATTGTTGATGTCACCCGGCTAGGCAAGTCTCGCTGTGTGAAGATTGCGTTTAAGAGCACATCACTCCCCTCTCATGTGAAGGTGGGGTACTTCAGACATGCTGTGCGGCCTTCCATTCCAAAGCCTCTCCAGTGCCGTAAATGCATGAAACTTGGACATGTGAGCAGCGTCTGCGAGAATTCGGTGGTATGCCACCGCTGCGCCGAGCACCATGAAGCGGATAAGTGCGTCGCAACTGTCAAGAAATGCTCTAATATCAATGGATCCCATGAAGCCACATCGAAGGACTGCCCGCGGATTCAGAAGGAAATAGCCATCTTGAAGGAGATGGTGCGCGATCACTCATCTCATCGAGAAGCCGCAGCTAAAGTCAGAAAGCGTCGTTCACGTCGACGTCGGTCTTCGAGGACGCCCGCTACCTCCTCGACACGATTGCGTGATCCCTCATCAGATCCACCTCCTTTGCCTCCCAGACCACATGCCGCGGGAAAGGCTGTAAAGGACAAAGCCAGTGAGCATACCCTGACTGCGACAGAGTGGCCTGCACTTCAAAGGGAAGCAGCATCAAGCGAACCGAAGGAGCTTTATGACGGCTAGTCCGCGCTCCCGGTTCGAGATCTTTCCAACCAAGACAGGCAAGTGACTGCAATCGTCCCGGTTCGAGATCTTTCCAACCAAGACAGGCAAGTGGCTGCAATCGTGCAATCATTAATTGCCACGATTCGCACGCTACTGAGCAGCCTACAATCTCCGTCTGCTAAGAGTGCACTGCAAATACTGGATGCACTGAATCCAGTTCTTGCTAACTTCGTATAAGCACAATGGCTCAACAAAATCTCCACTTCCGCACTGATGTTAAAAGTGCGTCGATTTTTCAGTGGAATGCCAGAGGCATGAAGTCCCGTATCTCGGACTTGCGCCAATTTGTTCGGGCCAATCAATTCCCTATACTTGTCATGTGTGAACCAAACGTGTCAACGCCTTATAGATTGTCCGGTTATGAAGCTTTTTGGTCAGCCGCTTGCGAAGAACGAAGCAAAGTAATTGTTTACATTCGCACAGACTTTCGCACTCAATAAGTTCAAATGACGACAATCAGTACGTGTGTCTTCGTGTGAAGAATGCAGTTTCGTTCATGCTTATTGGTGGATATATATCTCCGTCATCGCGATTTGACTGCGACAGATTAAAAGACATCCTAATGGGAACCGATGGGCCTTGGATCATAATCGGTGACTTCAACGCCCATCACATGCTTTGGGGGAGCACTAGGATGAATGCCAGGGGCCGGAACATTGTTACATTCGCTTCCGATTACGACCTTTCCATCATGAACGATGGTACCCCCACATATCTGCGGGGTCTCACGTATGGCAGTTGCCTTGACCTGACATTGGTGTCACGGTGCTTCTCTCACAAAGTTAAGTGGTTTTGCGATATTGAGACTCATGGGAGTGATCACATACCCACCTACGTGACGATCGATGGTATCGTAAAAAATTTCTCTTCCGGTGTTGCAATTGGTACTGACTGGTCGATGTTTGCATCGCGTGTTGAGAACGCTTGCCAAGAAGGCCTCGCCTGCAGCCTGGAAAATACCATAGTGGAAGCTATGCAAGCGTTCAAATGTAAATTACCATTTTCGTCTAAAGTTACGCAGTTTGACATCGAACTGGAAAAATTACGAGCTATACGAAGGCGTGCAGAACGACGACACAGACGCACAAGATCAATTTACGATCTGAGGGAAGCAAGGCGGCTCCAGAAAAAGATTCAACGACGCATTTACAAACTGGAGAGCGAACGCTGGAAAGCATTCTGCGAATCTCTAGACCCTCATAAACCGCTGTCATATATCTGGAGAACAGTTCGTGGTCTTCGCTCCTCTCCACAACAACGGCACCCTTTTAAAACTTTGGCACTCCATCAGGGAAAAACAGAACTCGAGGTGGCTGAAGAATTTTGCACGAGAGTTGCCGGAAATATTGTGAACGAGAGCATCGACGCCGTGATCGTTCCTGAGACGCGATTACCAGAAATGGACATTCCGTTCACCATGGAAGAACTGGAAGGTGCGTTAGTCGCTTCTAAGCGCATGTCATCGCCAGGTCCTGATGGTATTACTTATAGTGCGTTGGGACACCTTGGACAAAAAGCTATAAAAGAACTTTTAACATGCTTCAACAACTCCTGGCTCAGCGGCAGTGTTCCCCGAGAATGGAAAATTAGTCGATTAATACCACTTTTGAAATCGGCAAAATCACCATTGGACTTGACAGCGTATCGCCCTATTGCCCTCGCAAGCTGCCTCGGAAAAGTGATGGAAAGGATGGTTCTATTTCGTCTCGAGTGGTACTTGGAACGATACACCAAATACCCTTCTTGCGTGGCAGGCTTTCGTCGGGGCCGCTCCTCCATTGACTGTGTCCTTGATTTGTCGACATTTGTTCAACAAGAAAAAAGTCGCAAGCGCATATCAGTGGCACTCTTTCTTGACGTGAAGGGTGCATATGATAATGTAGCTCACGATGCCACCCTCACTTCTCTCGCAGCAATGGGCATTGGTGGACGAATGTTTCAATGGATAAAAGGCTATATAACAGGCAGAGGTTTCTTTGTACAAACATATGAGGGTACAACTGCCCAACATTACACCTACTGCGGAGTACCTCAGGGAGGTGTTTTAAGGCCCACATTGTTCAATGTGGCCCTCATTGGTCTGGTGAAGGTTCTGCCAAAGTCGGTGTGCCTATCCATATACGCCGATGACATTTGCCTCTGGAGTGCTGCAGTTACTCGCCCTCAGGTGCGTGCACGAATACAGCGGGCAGCAACCCTCACAACAGCCTACCTTCAGAAACAAGGCCTAAATATATCAACTGCGAAGTGCGCGTTGATGGCGTTTACACGCAAACCAATGACGCCATACCCTGTTTACATCAACGGGCAGAGTGTCATATATGCACGGACGCATCGTTTCCTGGGCATAATAATCGGCAGAGGTCTTTCGTGGAGCCCACATTGTGCGTACTTGAAGAAGAGACTGCTATCTATTGTGCATATCATGAAATTCTTGTGCGGTAAAGCATGGCGAACTTCTGTGGCCTCCATGCTAAGGCTGTACAGGGCCCTATTTCTGAGTCTATTGCGCTACAGCTTGCCGGTACTGACTAACACTTGCAAATTGAATACTCATTCATTGGAGAGTTTGCAGGGTCAGGCACTGCGTATCTGCCTAGGACTGCCCCGATGCGCTTCTACTTATGCCACAATCATGCTTGCCAAAGACCATCCGGTCAGGACATATATAGCTGTGGATTGCCTCAGAGCGCACATTCGACATGCTAGCCGTGTCCCCGACCACCACTTGGCCCTTCTACCTTCCGGAAGACCACGTGCTACGTTTTCAGACGTCATAGCCAAGCACCTAAACAGCATTCCATCAGGATATACGCCAGCTGCGAGAACGGCATGCCCTTTGTGGTGCCTCGACCAGCCGCAAGTACGTCTAGAAATTCCGGGAATCAAAAAGAAAAGCAGTCACTCCAGAGTAGCATTGAAGCAAGCAACACTGCTATTATTACATGAGTTGTACTTAGACCGAACGCAGATATACACTGATGGGTCCGTCTCATCCAGCAGCTCATCAAGTGCCGCTGCAATTCCGGCTGCAGAAATGACAATCAAGTTTAAGTAGTCGCATATGACTACATCTACGGCATCAGAGCTTGCTGCTATAAGGGCTGCTTTACAATATCTCGTTCAAGAACGTCCAGGAAAATGGGTCATATTCTGTGATTCGAAGGCAGCGCTTCAGAGTTTTCAGTCTGCCATGCGTAGGAGGAGCCATGACCAACTGGTACAAGAAATAAGACATTGCCATCATGAAACTCTAGCACGAGGGCATGATATTATATATCAATGGCTGCCTGGACATATCGGTATTACCGGAAATGAACTAGCCGATGATGCAGCCCGCTCAGCCCATGAAGAAACCCGTGTAGTCCCGATTCCTCTATCAAGGAATGATGCAGCAAGACAACTTTACCTCCTGGCTCGAGATCTCACACGCACGTTCTGGTCGTCTACCAGCTTCCAAAGGTGTCAATTTTATGAACTGGATCCTTCGCTAAAGCTAAAGCTACCATCACAACTTTCCCGCTCCGATGCGACACTGTTATGCCGCCTTTGGTTGGGTGTTGCATTCACAAAGGTGTACTCCTTTCGCATTGGTATGGCAGACACTCCTACATGCGACTACTGCGGAGATGAAGAAACCATCGAACACGTCCTCTGCAGCTGCGCTTGCTACGACACACAGCGATGCCAGCTACGGATGGTTTTGAATCGACTTGACCCCGGTCCATTTTGTGTGCAGAAGATACTAGGACCTTGGGCATCTGCCTCAGTTGCGCAGAAAGCAACTAAAGCACTGCTTCTTTACCTTAAGTCAACAAACCTGAGCGACCGCCGGTGAATTGTGTGTGCTCACCGAGTGTGTTCGTGATTGTGTGTACCTTCTCATCTTTGTGCAACCTCTTTTCTCCCCTTTATCCCTTCCCCAGTGCAGGGTAGCAAACCGGATGTGCGTCTGGTTAACCTCCCTGCCTTTCCTTGTATCTTTATCTCTCTATCTCTTCTCGCTTGTCTCTCTTGGTACAACATGGTCAAGAACAGCCCAGATGCTGATCAGTATCGCGAAAGTCACAAAATAGACCATAGAAGACGATAGTCCTGCAGACAACGCTGAGTTGGTCTACTGTACGTCTTTCTTCGTATATATAAATACTCGTCGGTATCTGCGCTGGTGTGTTCACCACATTATTTCTGCTTCGCTTACCTGCATTTGCTTACTTCCCCCGAAGAAGTCCTTTTTGTCGGTGCTACGGCGGTCCTTCCAAGCAAAAAACACACCTATTAACGTTGAAAGGCCCAGCACGGCTACGAGCACGCAGTAGTCGGCCGGGTGGAAATACCGGGGGGCCATGACGGAGACTGAATGGGCTCTCTAAACAAGAGAGCGCCGGCCTCAACTACCACATTCTCTGAGCGCTGCTGCCTAAACCCGTTGACAGGTTGTTCTTCCCTTTCCGTCATCTCATCCGGTGATCCAAAGTTACAGCGTTTCTGTGGAGAACGAAAACAAGTGACAGCAAGGTTGCTAACCAGTCCAATATTCAATGGCGAAGGCCTCACTTCGAAGGTTGATGACGAACGCTCGACTGCTCTTTGGGAATGACAGCGCTCGCTTTCTCTAGCAGCGTGCTTTGTAGCTTACTCCAAGTTTGATGTGGTCTAAAAAACATTATTTACTTTTTTACTTTATATTGTAGTTTTCTGGACATGACATTGTCAGATATGGCGACCATGTGGGATACGGCCGACCATTCTAAAAACTCGCCTACTGCGTCTTCTTCTGATTTCGCGTGTTTTCACAAAAGCAGCCTATCAGCGGTTGGGACCGGAGATGCCGTTACAAGTGAAACAATGCCTGCGTCCACAACGTGAGCCGCCTTCTGCGGCTCGATTAACACTACATCGTGAAGAATGTGTCCATCTATTGGCAACTGCTTCTCACGTTACCAGATCAGAAGGTGTTTGGATTGTGTCAATAATGTTCAGGAGTGGAGTAGGAGGGTTCACGTGGGTGCGGATGAAAAACAGGCAGACAAAAGCTATACAGCAACGAGTCACTGAGAAACAAATGAAGACTGGCATTATTTTCGACATCATTCAACCTCAACAGCTTGGTTGCGCACCCTTTCATGACTTACGTTTCGGAACACATCGCAATAAAGTTTCAGCCTTTGTGAAAATTTGCCTAGGGTGTCTTGGCCCTTGCTGTGCGACCATAAAGCCTCAACAACAGAAAAAAGAAAATGGCTTCGGGTACCCACATGACGGGAACTAGTTTTTCTGTAATTGTCATCGCATTTCTTCAAATATTTCAGGTGTCCGTACTTCGGCTACGTATAGATTTTCAGTAATTGTGATTTTTTGTGCCCTCGAGTACCTTCGAGGATCAAATTGCACTAGCATGACTGGCAATGTGAGTTGCGATGAGATGACTTCGTTTGATAAATTTTGATGCTTTCTGAGGTGCGTGTTGATACATCAGTCAGTCTGGCCAATGTGTCTGTATGAACACGAGAGAGAGGAATTCAGTTAGCGACTCCAACACAACCATTTTCCCTGCATCTGATAGTATTTTTCTCTTCCCACTACAGACCCTTGCGACCTTTTGTGCACTACGGAATAAATGGGAATAAGTTGCAGAAAACACTACCTTCATCATGGTATCGCTTCCCGACCTTCTGGAATACTGCAACATTCCTAGATTCTTCGCTGGTTGAGGACGTTTATAATCATATTTGTTTGTCTTTTTTTTAATGCAAATGAGCTGTTGACAAGCTGATGCAACATGACACGCAAGATACCGCGACTCCTTGAGGCGACCAAATTGCCACTGGGAACTATTGCTCAGGTTATGTGCACCTTTCATTCGTTTTTTTTCTTCGATGTCATCGTATGAATGACATCATTATTCCCCACAAAACAATGTCCGAGAACGCCGATGCGAAATTATAACAGTGATTTCTCTGAATATGGAACATACTGCCAGAAGACTTGCTCCGCCGTGACACATCGCAGATTATCAAGACATGGTATCTCACAAGTGATTTCTAGTTGGATATCTTCTTCTTAAGCACTTTTAGAACATGTTCTTTTTTTACAGCACGAGGTTTGTAAATAAACGTACAATATTTATGCAACACTATACTGCTGTTTAGCATCAGCGGCTCAATAAAACCGCAATCGTTATATATGCCATAGCAACTTGCGAACAGTTAATCGTTCAATAAGTATGATATGAGTTAGCAGCTCACATTTTTCACGATAGCACGTTTTGATAGATGTATCGTTAGGAGACAGTTCGCATGCCGCTCAGCTATGATGTACACTTTCGTTTTTTAGGAAAGGGAACATGCGAACGCTTGGCCTGCGCTCTGCGGCGGCAGCCTACAGCACCATCAACCGACAAGTGAAGAAAGCACGTTCGCTTATGGCGACATCTATGACAAAGCAAGATAACGAGTTATGGCCGGTAGACAGACGCTGCTAGACTACGTTCCGTGATTGCTCGCGCGGTGAGAGATATTGGGCGATTACTGCAGCTTGTGCCATGGTATGTTGGCAGTGGATACGCACTTCAGGCGTGAGCAAAAAGAGGGTGCAATCTAGCAGCGCTTGTCCACAACCAAACTCGTTTTTTTTTTGGGGGGGGGTGGGGGGGGGGGCAAAAAATGACGCTGAAAGTGAACGCGTTTTCTTTCGCTGTCGGTGGATGGTGCTGCAGGCAGCAGCCACAGAGCACAGGCCATCCGTTCGCGTGTTCCCTTTCATAAAGGCCGCCAGTATACATGCACCCGGTGATACCTACACTAACTGCGTTATTCCCTTCACATTTCATGCGTATAAATACAAACAGGTGCTTTCAGACGTATCTAGTATTCAGGATTTGTTAATGTTCAACAAGTAGCATCATGTTCTTTTCATTTTGTGCTCCCGCGGCGCCAATAAAGCAGCGAGTGGTGGATCAACCTGCTCGCTCAGAGTTCACAATAGTCCCATAGTGCTCTGCGTGTCCACGAGGCGTTAAGAGATTGCTTGAAAAAATGTCTATCGTCTCTGGTTCACCCTCTTCTGGAGTGTGACACCTCGTACGACATTCCAAACAGTGTTAAAGAGATGACAATCATCATAAACCAATGTTAAATATAGTATGCTGTGGCGACATCAGCTTCGAAAAGGATAACTTCAAGGGTAAAAGCAGGGAATTGTGGGCGATGTGCATTCGCTGGAACAACCAGACTCTTTGCCAATTACTAGAAAGTATGCCGGGATCAGCGCGGCACCTGCTTGAAACCTTGCACCACACTCAGCCACGCAATGGCGTGCTGTAGCACGTCGAGCGTGATAGCACTTAGATTTAGGTGCACCTTAAAGACTTGTAGAGGTGGTAGAAATATCAGGAGTCCCCCGCTGCAGCGTTTTTCACAATTATATCGAGGTTTCGCGTCTTGAAACGCCTAACATATATAGGTGATTCCGTGTTTGTAGGTGCCCACGTTGTCGCCTGCAGCCCAACGTAAAAATTAAGTCTCACTGGATGGGCTCATTCAACAGACATTCTCTAAAAGCAAGCAAGCTCACGAGCTGGAAATATTAATGCCTGGTGACAGCGCCATCACGCTGTTGCAAAGCAGCTTGACGGTGAAAGTGAAAGCTAACACTATACTCATACCGCAGTGTAACAGTATTAAGTAACACGCCGGCGTTAACTTTCACTGCACTTTCCGAGATTGCGTGGTCTCACACCTTTAAACTGAGTGAAAAATGACAGTGCTGAAAAAGGAAAATACCACAAATCGGGGTCGAAAGCAACGTGCTGAACCAACTGCTTCCCTTCGCTGAAGCAATGTGCATCACGTGATCCAACCATGTGCGTCGACACAATCGCTGCTCCCACATCTCAATAGTGCGACCCACCCCCGAAATTTCACACGGTTCGAAGAGGGCGAGAAAGAGGAAGAAGTTTGCAGCCGCAGTGATCGTCATCTTCATCAGAATTGTCGCGCTCTGCTCGCGCCAGAGAAGAAGCAGCACCCATCGCCTTCACACAGATGGTTCTTGGCTTATTCAGCAGCTCTTCTGCTTTCTCGCTTTTGCAAGTGACCGAGAAGCAAGTGTGAGTACCACCATTCTTGAACTAATGATGGTGCTTTACGCTGCACAGCTCCGGTTGCCAGATAGGGCAGGCGCCGTCATAAGTTCCAGTTGCGCTCAATCCTATTCAAGCGGCAGTGTAACTGCTTGTAATCCGGGATAGATTTGTTTCAATGCTGTGTGTAGGCTGTTTGTCAACACGTTAGAGAACCCGTTTCTCTAATTCCGGTGTTGGTGGCAGCTTCTTCAGTAAAAAAAAAAAAAAACATGCGTTGTCTGTGATCGGTGAATTGAGAAAGCGAATAAATTAGTAAAAGAACTTTGACTCGAGTTGGAATCGAACCCAGGACGCCTGCATAGCAAGCAGGTGTTCTGCCATAGAGTCACATCATTGCCTCAAACGGCTTCGTAAAAAAATAACAACGAATGCCATGCCATGAGAGTGTCTCCTTAACGCTTTTATTATTGTCTGCAGTATGCCATGCGGAAAATCTCGGAGGCTACGCTGCTTGTTCATAAGGTTTTGTTCGTCACCAGGTGTCGTCCTGAACTAAACCGCTGTTTGACACAGCTTATACTATATAATGTTTTCTTCCCTAATACAAGCACTAACAAGCCACACTAACAAGCCAATCAGATGAGGTACGCAAGTGCATAAGACGGATAGCTGAAAGCAAACACGCAAAGCAAAGCTTTCATGAACAACTCGGTGAAGAAGTTTACGTGACAAGGCATCAATAGGAAGGAGCGGAATTTGCGAGTGATGAAAATCACTGCTTTGGAATGGTCAAAACACTAACAATAGCCACCATTTTTTGTTGGTCACTTGAAACCTTTATTGACACGTCACAGCCACGAGAAAAAGTAGTGCAGTTGTTTATCTCGCATAACGTAAGCCGTTTTTTTTTTTTCGAGTTCGCTTTAAGACTGCTTGATGACCGAACTTCGAAGTACAAAGTAGCACTTTATTTTAAGCTTCAATCCTATGAGCGTTTGTCAAAGTAACTGCGCTGCGCAAAATTCCTGTGTGGGCTGTTACTACAGGCACCACATGGTAAAATTCATCGGTTGCGGTTCACATTGCATAAGTTACTTAACAACGATGCCTTTGTAACAGTAATTGTGCTGGTGTATTCAGCTGAGTTGGGGCTTGATAGATAAAACATTATGACGAAAACTCGCTGAACCAACAACCATAGCTGCATGATAGGCATGTGTTCATTTTCAGGAGTCTTTGCAGCGGTCACAATGACAAACCTT